GCCATGATGACAAAAGGCTTGGTTAAAATGTTTTCTTTTTCATTCTATAAGTAAATGAAATTTGATAAATAACACATAACTAACGGCTAAGAACTATTAATAGCGATGCAGGACATGGAATTATAATCAATCATACAAAAAATGTCTGATTTAAATACTTATGTAAATCAAAAATCTATTTTTTACATTCGGGATGTATGAAATTGCTCATTCATCACCCTTATTCTGTGCCGTGGCCGGCGTTTACCCGTGGTCCCCCCAACATGTCCCCCTGGTGGGTCCACGGGTAATTTTTTTTACCCGTTGTCCCACCGTTCTGAACAGTGTTTGCCAGTGGGTCTACGGGTAATTTATTTTAACCATGGTCCCACCGCACTAAGTGGCAAACATTGCATGTCACCTATGTCTGGGATGAAATATCAAACGCCGAGAAGGATATGAGTGACTTTAACCCACATGTGTGATGTGAAGATAGTATAAAGATATTATAGTGCCATACCTACCTATAATTATTTTCTATATTAATTATAGATTTTTTTATAATTTTATAGATACCTAGGCTAGGTGGTGACAAGCAATGTTTGCCACTTAGTGCGGTGGGACCATGGTTAAAATAAATTACCCGTAGACCCACTGGCAAACACTGTTCAGAACGGTGGGACAACGGGTAAAAAAAATTACCCGTGGACCCACCAGGGGGACATGTTGGGGGGACCACGGGTAAACGCCGGCCGTGGCGGGATTTGCCCACTAGCGCTATCGCAGTTTCAGAAAACCCGAACCAACGGACTAAGGCTAAGAACTCATGACGGGATTTTCACCCGCGCCCCCGGCGGTTGCGGGTCCGCAGCTTCAGCTGTAGAATGCAGAATGCAGAAACCGCGCGAAAACCGCCCGATCGGCGGGCGACCATTAATTTTGTACCAGTGTCTTAGCGCGCGGCGGGCGCGGGTGAAAATCGCGCCGTGAGTTCTTAGAATAACCGCACAAATAACCGCTCCCGTGAGTTTTGAAATAAAACCGCAATTCCACAACTGCCGCGGGTGCGGGTGAAAATCGCGCTGTGAGTTCTTAGCCTAAGATGCTGTAACGGTTGATAAAATCTATAGTATTAAAAAAATCTATGAAATTATTATTTTTATTCACCTTATAGTTTTTTTATAATGGCAATGACATGGATTGTAACGTCTGCATCTTTTACAAAATTAGTACAATGCCTTTTTATTTTGCAAAAAGTAAGAAAACTGTATAAATATTAACGTTTTGGACTATTAGGATAAAAAAAAACAATATGTCACTGTCAGATGTTCCGTGTCACTGTCACTTTGACTTTGACAGCTACTGCTGTGGACGAAGGAACACGTGTGTTTATTTTCCCTGAGAAAAATGTACTAAAATCTATTAATATTCACGAAGTTTGGAATAAATGAAAACGTTTAAATAGTTGTAAATTAATAAAAATCATTTCAAAATGTCAGACGGTCAATTTAGCGATTACGAGGAAGATTTAAGTGAGAAGGTTAATAAGTCCGTGCGGGTAAGTTTTAAAACTTGGTTTTTTATTTATATTGTTGTTTAAAACGTAAAATTTCTAGCATAAAATAGTGTGAACAACAGTGCAATCATTCCATTACTCTATGTACTCAAACTTTCTTTAAAACTGCTTTTGTGTATCATTTCAGTTTGCACCTTTACCGGTCTACAAAAAAGAAGTAATAATAGAACCAGCTAAAGAAAGCAGTGAAGATGACGATCTCGATTCCGACGACTACTATTATGGCTCAGATGACGCAATTAATAACTCAGGCAAGAAAGAAAATGTCAACTTACAAGCTCCTACCAGCAAAATAAGTTCTTATCAACCAACCGAAAAACTGTTCAAAAAGTACATCAACAAGATCAATGTCGACCAATATGAGCCTGTTCACTCGAGCAAAACTGAGAAGTTTCTGAATCAAAATGATAGGAAAGTGGATAATGAAAGGTTCAGAATCAAAGATAAACATGACCGAGCCACAGCTGAGCAGGTTATGGATCCACGCACCAAAATGATACTTTTCAAACTCTTGAATCGGGGAATCATAAATGAGATCAACGGCTGCATATCCACAGGTAAAGAGGCAAACGTCTATCATGCAACTTCAAAAGATGGGAAAGATTATGCTGTGAAAATCTTCAAAACATCAATTCTCGTCTTCAAAGACCGTGACAAGTATGTGTCTGGAGAATACAGATTCAGGAATGGATATTGCAGATCAAACCCTCGTAAAATGGTGAGAACTTGGGCTGAGAAAGAAATGAGAAACCTTGTCAGAATGCACAGCGCACAGCTGAGTGTGCCTGAGCCAATTATTTTACGTAGCCATGTGTTAGTCATGACGTTTATGGGTGAGGGAGGTTGGCCGTCACCGAAGCTGAAGGATGTTGAAATATCACAGTCTACGGCCCGTTTATTGTATAGAGATTGCATTACCATGATGTGGAAAATGTTCAACATTTGTAAACTGGTCCACGCTGACTTGTCAGAATTCAATTTATTATACCATCAAGGTAATGTAGTTGTTATTGATGTCTCACAGTCAGTTGAGCACGATCATCCTCATGCATATGAGTTCTTGAGGAAAGACTGTACGAACATATCCGATTTCTTCAGAAAGAAGGGTGTAGCCACACTCACAGTGAAAGAACTTTTTGATTTTATCACTGACACCACAATCAATGAGGACAATTTAGAAGAATGCTTAGAAAAATTATCGGAAAAGGCTGCTTCTAGGGACTTTGATGAAATGACAGCTCAGGAGCAAATTGAGGAGGAGGCTTTCAAGAACATCTACATTCCAAAAAGGCTGACAGAGGTAACATAATCCTTTGTTATTTTTCTATTATTATAAATACATATAAAGGTTTGAAGGTGGATGAATGCTTGTAACTTTTTCATGCAAAAACTACTGAACTGATTTTGATGAAACAGTATTATGGTTTATACATCATTTATAAACTGAATTTCAAGTGAACAAAGCTGCATTCAAAAGCTAGTACCTACATAATTTCATAATAGAGACAAAAAAACTATGTAACTTGAATGAGAATTATTACATTTTTGTATATTTTCAATTACAGGTTATCAACTATGAACGGGACATAAGCAAAGCAAAAAAAGGTGACACAGAAGACTTGGCGTACAAAAAAATAGCTGGTTTCAACGAAGACCTGACAGGCACAGTGGACAAACCAGACATCTTGCAAGAGGACAATATATCAGAGAGCGGCTCTGAATCGGATTCAGGAGAGGATGATGATGAAGGAGGTAACTTTTTTAAGAAAATTTTTTTAAAGAATAAAGTACCTATTAGTTTCACATAATGAACGCCACTGTAGATTGAGCCTTGATCACACATACCGAGCAAACGGGCGAGACAGTGCTCTCGGCCGAGTACTCGGTGTGTATGAGCATTACGCCAAGTGCTCGGCTGAGCGCTCGAGTATGTGACTCGCTCACCCAACTGTCTCGACCGAGTAAACATTTTACTGTCTCGCCCGTTTACTCGGTTCATATGATCAAGGCTTTAAAGTCACTGGACACTTGCTAATGGCGAAGACAGTAGCGCTATCTGGTGAGTGCTGAAGCATAGGACTATAGGAGGACTATCTCGTTTGCATTCACCAGGACTTTTTATATTTTTGTTTCTTCTTCAAATTATCCTAACACAATTCTATCCATACTTTGTTATTATTATTATTATTGTTTGTAAAAGATTATAAGCAATTTGTATTGCACAAATTACTAATAGTCCCGTTAGCCCCTCGTGTTAAGCTAAATAAGCTTGTGTTACGAGTGAGCTCACCACAATAGTCGAGCGCCGGTGGGATTCGAACCCGCGTTCCTCGGATCTCGAGTCACTCCGACCCCTTCACCGCGGTTCGGCTATCGTGGCTATCAATTATCATGTAACTTTATGTAAGTAACCCATAAAGTCATAAAATGTTTGTTCTAGATACTAAATTCAAGAACAGTGCACGCCCAAGAGACGAATCTCCGAACAGCAAAAAAGCCAGAAAAAAGGCAGTCAAAGAAGAAAAGGCTGAGAAAAGGAAAACGAAAACTAAGAAACATGTGAAGAAAAGGCGCGACAAAGGTCATGGTAAAAAATAATACATTATTAATAATTAGATGCCAATTAAAATGTTGCTATAGATTAAAGAACGATAGAACTTAGTATGTGCTGATCAGATTATACAGAATTGTGATATGGATAATATCTAAGCAAAAGTAATAAACTCATTATTATATTTAAATTTAGTTACTTTCTTTAAAAAATCTTATTGATAACTCATCTTCACCCTGAAAATATCAAGATATTATTCTAGTTTAGATAATCTAGGTGTGTCCTAAATCGAAATTATAGCCTCCTTGCTTGATCAATGAAGTTATTGTAAGAAAAGCTTAATCTAAAACAGCGTCATTTTACCGAAAATTTAAGATGAAATCGCCAGATTTTTATAAGAGAGCACGAAATCACCCACCATCTTAGAAGAACGCGTGCCAATTGGTGCTGGGATCGTGGATCGGGACGCTCTTTCACTCTACCTACTGGGATATAGGGCATATGAGTACGTGTCCTTGAAGTATTATCCCGGTTGGATTTATTTATCTGTGTTTTCTGAAGTATAGGCCTTATTAGAACGTAGGCCTTATTTGTATCAAGTACCTTATTACACCAACTCAATTCATGTATGTCCACCTAGGTACTATGTATTTTAAGCTGGCCAATAGTGCGAAACATATTATAGTCTCGTTAAGGGCTATTTTCTCTTTCTTTTGAACAAATGACTTAACCATTTTTGGTAGGCTCGAAAATGAAATAACTCTCAGATTTCAATTTTTATTACAAATGCACCTGTAAAAAATTACACATGAATACCTTTACAAACTCTAGTGTTAAAGTATAATTTCTAGTAAGTAGCTAATAATCGTACAACTATGCATATTACTTAATAAGTATCCGTTAAATTAAGGCAAGTTATTCTCCCCTAGCATATTATCCATAACAATAATATCGCTAAAATTATAATATCACTTGATAAAGTATACAAAATATCAGTCACCACATTTTCTCGGAGCGAGCCGCGAAAATTCTCTTTGGCTGATGTTAAACAATATCTAATTTGCACTATAAAACCAGATCTATATCAAGGCTATAATAAAGCTTACATTCGATTCTAGTAAGAATCATAATAATATTACTAAAACTTATCACATGCTATTACATTTTGTACTAGCGAGCACCTAAAAAAGAACTAAAATCACATTAGCTAATAATAATCAGATCACGTGGCGAATCGCCATTTGAGACCAATAAAGCATAGTGATCTAAACACCAACATGATGCTGATCATGATTGTGATTTCTAACCAGACGGAGGTTCTTTCTATGTCTAGATATTTGAGTAGGACGTCAGGTTTTGCGAAGTGGCAGTAGACGTCTTTGCAGTCTAGAGGGGTTCTTCCGAAGCCGAAGATGGTCAGTACCATGGCGACGACACCGCATCGGATGAAGGAGGTCTTCATGACGATGTTCATGAGGAGAGGGATCCGGTGAGCGAAGTCGAAACCATAGATGGCTAGGCCGAGGAACGGAGCGATGGACGCTGGGCCGATGGCGCAACCGTTCTGAAAAGTAAAAGGTAAGTGTTAGTTAACTGACAGTTTTGTAGATAGACAACGGAAAGGTGTCCCAAAACAATTGAAAACCCTGTAAGTAGGACAAATAAGGACGCATTTAGATCATTCATCACACAGAAAGTCATAAATGCCATTCTCGCGAGGATGAAACACGGTAAACCCTGAAAAACATTCATTTCACAATAATTTCAGCGGTTTAGGCGTTAACAGGGTGGAATCGATGAGTGATACTTGATTGTTTCTAAACTGTACAAGATATAGAAAAACTGTTACTGATTCTGAAAGTGTTTCATGAGCTCTAACAAACGGTATCATTAATAGGTTACAGAATAAACTGGATCTATAAGAAAATTCAATGTGTGAACATAGGAATATGTTCCTATGTTCCTACTAATATTGATTGAAATACTCACCCTAACATTGAAGACTGATCCAATCGCCAACCCCATGCCTTCAGCCACCAAGGAAACCACGTTGCCAATCAAGCAGAACGCTATGAACCTCGGCAGACTGAAGGGCACTCCAGTCATGAAGTACACAATGGTACAGAAGAGACAATTCAGTGTCACTTGTACTGGCAGCTTGGAGACAGTCAGCGCCGCGTAGTATGGAGTCAGGCTGTACCAGCGGTTGAAGTGTTCTTTCTTGACCAGCTTCACTTCTTGCGGATCTGAAAGGTAAATATTATTATTTGTATTATTCTTATTTGTATTATCTTTCGCTTTGCTATCGGGCAGAAGCACTGCCCGCGCCTGCGATCGCATTATTTTCAATGTGTCACAAAAAGTCTTCTATCGTGCGTCTCAAGACCAAAAATACGTATGAATTTCCATGTCCCTGATAAATAATGGTTTCCCCATACCTACAAATTTTCACCATGCTGAAGTTATTTAATGTGCCAAGTATAGTTTCCTCCCTGTATTTGCCGAGAAATATTCAAAAAAGACCAAAATTACTTTTAAAAGCATAACGTGACAACATAATGTATGTTTACAGATTGTATGTTTGTTAGTTCTCTAGCTAGAATATACTTATTAGATAACTTTAGAACGGATTATCGTAATAGCAAATGCTCCTAAGAAGAAAAGCAATTATCACCCGAAGAATAAGTAGGTACCAGCATATAATTATTGCGAGTGAGCAATTTCCTTTTTGTCCTAACCCACTACTTAAGGTATCATCTGATAAATGAATATAATGACGTAATTACAATGTAAATTGACTGATAGCTAGTGTAAAAAGTTGGCAAATTGGTTTCCGAGGCGAGAATTGCACATCAACAATCACGAACGCGAGTTTTTGTAAAAAATTGTAATAGTTCATCACTTGTTGAGAGAAGAAGTTTAGTTACAGAAGATTTATTATTGCATGTAACTTTTGAAATGAAATTATTTATTTGCAGAATGTGGTAGGTACATTAGATGTTACATAATGAAATGAACCTACTTACTTAGTTATCTTATTCATATCGGCCGGATCTTTAGTTTTTTTGGGAATCATTGGTCTTGGAATACTTTCTAGATTAAGGATGGATAATACTTAAGTAATAATTTATTGGAAGTCTTAAATCATATTTTGGTGTAGAAGGGAAAGAAATGGTTGATGTATAAAAGATACTCGTGTCTATCACATCTATCCAACGCAAAAGGAACCTTACGACTTGCCAAAAACTTTCACTTCGGAGTCGCATCATAACAAAGTACTTACAAACAAGCACTGGGACCATGATCTGTGTGTAGGCGAAGAAGATGACGAGCCCCACACACAGCTTTAGGTGGTTGAACATTTGCGTCCCGTCGTTCGCCATGTTGAAGAAACAAATGCCGATCAGCACACCGCACATAATGTGGTGGATTAACTGGATCCAGAGACCTGTGGGTAAAAAAAAGAAGTTAAAAACAAAATAGAAGAACCTTTCCTAAAAAAGTCTTAACCCCCCACACGAGGATTTATGTACACACACACACAGCATGTAAACAAAAAAAAGCTCAGTCCGTTCAATTCGAAGCCTGATTTTGGTGCTTAAATACCAATAACAACTTTTTATGGGCACATGTGGTATGGGACCAAAATTCGTATTGGACAGAACAGTAGAGGTAGATCTATAAATCTAATACCTACCTACCTAAGACAAGAAGTACCTACCTAGATTTTAAATCAGGTGCATTGCTCACACGCAGAACAAGTTGATACCACCACAAAATGGATTTTGATACTTAATCCTCGGAATTGTAGAAAGTATAAAATAATACGGAATGCACTGACCCTAATTCTACTGCGCGCCATCTATAAATAGCATTGTAAACCACAAATGCATGTTCCCGCGGCCATCGACCTCATGAAAATGTATAACTTAACATTTAACTGTGGTAGACCCATTTCATTGAATTTCACTTATCGCCAGTTCAGAGAATAAATAAATATGTAAGCAACTAACATGCTCAGGTGTTTATGCACTTGAGGTAGGAGGAGAAAACAAATATCCTCAAAATCTAGGTCATCTAGGTATACCTACTCGAGTGGTTTAGTATGCGGAGTTTGTGGAGCCTAAACTTAGAATAGAATGCTTATTTCAATTTGCTTGAAAAATATGTTTCGTCGTCGTGAAACATGCATGTTTACTGAAGCCGTAGCTTCTTATCTATCCTGCGCTAAGTTCTGTATTTTCATATACCTAGGTATTAGGTATATACTCGTAGTAGGAAACATGATGATTACGATGTGTAATGAACACATCACGAAGCCTAGACTGATAATTCTATTGTTTTCTCTAGTACCTATCTAACGCAGCAAAGTTTTCTTTCCCTATAGTCATCCTTATAACAGATTTTATAATGACAAATTAATTTCGTAGAGGGCTACCAATTCCTGTGCTGTTAGAAGACCCACTCAGTACAGTGACTACAATATTTAAAAAAATCCTTACCTTGCCGATTCCTGAAGATCTGCTTCAGCATCCTGCACAGCAGTATCGAGAACTGTTCGCAGTAAGTCGTTGCGTACGCGCACGAATCACTGGTCTGAACCTTCATCCATGCCATAGACGAGTTCACTTGGGAAATCTGACTGGACGCGGAACTTAGCGAGTCCGTCTCCTTATAAGTCGGCACTTTGTAAGTACATTTCTCATTTGACAGCATTATTTCAGTCTCTGGGGCGTCGTCTTCCATTTGGTAGCATATCTTCAGCTCCAAATTGTTGATGGGCTCGGCGGCTGTGCTCTCAACTTTGGCTGACTTGTATATTTTTCCGTTCATGATTTCTTCGCTGAGCGTGTCTATGTTCACTGGGTTCTCGGTAAGTTCTATGACTGAAAAATAAATAGATTTTATTAGGCTATTATCTTAGATATTTAGCTAGTACCTACCTAATTCACTTTAATGTTTAACAAACTTGTATCAAAACGTCATTCGACGTATCGGTAGTAGGTAATAGCTATTCGTAACTGATTTAACAAACCTTAGTAGGTATATCTATACTTATAATAAATCTGTAGAGAGGTCAATTCTGTACATGAAATATATTTTCAAAATAACTATCAGGGGGTGATTAGTGATCGATACTGATGCCAAAAATGCAATCAGTAAAATTTTTGTCTGTCTGTCTGTCTGTATGTTCCTTATAGAAACAAAAACTACTCGACGGATTTCAACGAAACTTGGTACAATTATTCTTCATACTCCTGGGCAGGTTATAGTGTACTTAGAAATTCCCATGGAAACGGGAATTAGCGGGAAAATCCTTTTGTATGAAAAATCTAAACCGCTTAAGTAAGACGCTTGAAATTTGGCATGCAGGTACCTTAGTAAACTTAAAGCTTAGTTACAACAGGATATTGCAAAATTCCCACGGGAACGGGAGTTAGCGGGAAAAAAACATTTGTATGAAAAAATCTAAACCGCGTAAGATAGATGAAGGGGGTAAAACGGGATCCACGCGTACGAAGTCGCGGGCGGCCGCTAGTTTTGAAATAAATACTAATTTCTATTTTTCCTATTATGTCAGTTTTATGTACTGTAAACTATTTGTTCTTGAAATCAACTCTTAAGTATCAATCTTGAACCTTAAATGATTTACGACGTACTTAAATGTACTTACTTAACTTAATTTCAAACAATAACATTTTATTTACCACATAAACTATGAGTTCCAATATTTATTATCTGCAGCCTACTCGATTAACAATGACTCGTTAAAAACTGCCCATGTCATAAGGCGCAATAAATGTTTATTACTTAAATTATGACATAAGTATTTATTAAATAATATCCATGTAATCTGTAATACCGAGATCAACGTTGAAATATAGCTGTAATGTATTACATTAATTATAAAATGCATGTATCTGTTTATGTTAAACCGCGCTCATCGTATTGATTTACTATAAAATTTATTACATTACATTACAATAACTATTATAGATAATTATACCCATAACGATTCTTAAAATATGCGATAAATTCCAGGCTAGGATATCGAGAAATAAATATTAAGGATTATTATGCCTAGTAGTCTATTAGGTTTAAAAGGTACTTGATACATGACATGAATTAATAGTATACTCGTAGATAACTGAAGACATCCTATTGAACCAAGGAAAAGGTCCAAACAAAAACTTATTTAATTAGGCACAACTCGTGGAACCATAAGAAAGTGGTCGCATGAAATCGCGGTAACAAACTGATTTCTATTGTCTCGATTCGCTGGTAGGACTTGAAAATCTAACAAAAAAAAGTCCAAAAGATAATTAATGAAAAACTATTTTTTTGTAATTGCGGTCGATGCGGATTCATGATCAACAAGCAAACAGCCTATTAATAGCAGACAACGAATACTAATTATTTGAGATTAAAAGATGTAAACCTAATTGTTTACAAAACAAAGATGTAACTGCAATGTTTAACTCAAGTTTCAACAGTGATAATGAAGGTCAATTTGCTTCAAACATATCGGCTGAGGTATTCAGGTATGTCGATATCACTCAAATCTTGACATGAATTCTCAACAGCTCTCATGAGGTTTCAATGGATGTTGCAAGTGCTTTTCGACATACATAATTGCAGAGGATTGTGAAGATCAATGTCAATATGAATTCTTGATTGTGCACAATCGACTCTATATCCATAGGTCCCTAAAATAACATCAGATCTTTTTATAAGTACAACCTGAGTTGTCTACTAAAAGATCGTCTGCACTTACATAGAGGCCTAGATTTTTAAGGCCACAGAAAAAAACTACATGACCTGGGTCTTTCGTTGGAATCTTTCGTTTGATACCCAAAAGTACACTGATGAAAGCTAAGCTACATAGGGTAAGGTTGCCACTATTGGACCACTTAACTTTAAAATGACATAACAGCGGAATTGTGATAGATAGGAGCAACATGATTCAACATTTTAATAAGCCTTATATATAAGAACTTGCATGTGTCATTTGTGATTTTTAGCATTAACCATAAACAGAGAAAATAGAAAAAAACTGTTTTGCCATGGTTGCTTTCTTTGGACCACTGTTTCTTTAATTGGACCAGTGAGTTGCTATCATTGGACTTAAAAAATTTGTGCAGTGGTCCATTCAACGGTACCATGAGAATTCAAACAAATAAAAGACAATAATATAATAATCAATTTTATTATTCTACAATTAGTCAACGCTTTATAAAGCTATTTTGTAAGTAAGCTTCTGACATCTTTTGGCGTGATTCCGTATAAACAGCTTTCTAACTCCAAAATATGATCGACTAACTTTTTCTCTAAGTCAGGAGTAAGGTCACCTATCGAACCAATTATTTGTTTTGCACCTTTTGCTCTTAAATTTTTGTCGTCCAGCCTTCTTTTTTGCGTCGCTTTTGGTACACCATATATCCTACTTGCCTCATTCAGTCCAACTTCTTGTTTACTTAAAGCTTGTAGTGCCAATGTCATGCTTTCTTCGTTCCACGCATAGTATTCCCCTCGTTTTGCCATGCTAAAATAAAAAAAAAAACATTTAAATTTCTATTTTAAAAGTTGCTATGATTGGACCGGTCCAATTAAAGAGAAACTTACTGGTCCATTGATGGCAATTCATAGTACAAAGAAAAAAAGGTTAATACATAAAAATCTGTGAAATATTGCAACAAACAGTTACAAATCTACTTGAACAACTAAATAAGGCGTGCGATTCACAATAAATAACATTAAAAACATTTAATAAACTGTACTTACCTGGTAAACTGTGTCACGAGAAAATTACATCGGGAGCGCGCGAAACACTGCAGCAAACATCCTTCCTCAACGGAGCTCACGGCGACACTGGTGGGATCGGGGGTTGGTATTAGCTCAAATAGCTAACGTTTCGTGCAAACGGTTGATTTTTAAAGTACTTAGGTTCCGAGAAATCAGAGTGGTCCAAAGAAAGAGCCGGTCCATTGATCGCAACCTTACCCTACAATATTTCTGATTCCAAAGTCAATTTTATGCTTCAAACAACTCCTCTATACAGGCTCCAATATAATGTATTATCTTGGTATCCTTCCGTTTGGCCAAATTACTTTTCGCCAAATTTCACTTCGCAAACAACTTATCGCCAAAGTTTCATTTCCCAAATGAACTTTTAGCAACTGTACTTTTCGCAACTAATTCATTTGGACAAATTATCATTTGGCCAAATTTTACTTGGCAAATGTTTATATAGCAAATGTTTTATTTTGCCAAATATTATATCCCAAATAATTTGTTTGGTCAAATCGACACTTCACATACCTACTTACCCACAAATCAAACCATAAGGCAGAGGCAGATGATCATGGTTTTCACAAGAATGTTATGTAAAACAAAGATATTGCAGAAAATAGTATGGTTGCAGAAAGTAGGTATTGCAGAAAATAGTAGGTTAGGTTAGGTTAGAACAGTGACCCTTAACGCGCGAAGGCGAGCGAAGCGTGCCGCGGCAGCGGCCGCCGAGCGCTAGAATCACCTCTATTGTTAATGAATCATTTGGAAATTTCGATAAAAAGAATGAAATATGAAAAATTAATATAGAACAAATTTTATATTAACTACCCACTAAACAAAATAATAACCACTTGTTAATTTGTACTCCATTCTATGCACCAATCAAATTATTTTGTAAATAGTGTATCGTGAAAGATTTTTGCCAAATGAAACATTTGCCAAAACATACTTTGCCAAACAATAATTTGCTAAACAATAATATGCCAAAAACGGCATTTGCGAATTAAAAGTTTGCTATAAGTTGTTTTGCCAAATGAGAATTTGCCAAATGAAAATTTGCGAAACGTTGTTTGCGATGTGATAATTTGGGAAACGTTTTTTGGCCAAACATTAGTAATCCTATTATCTTGTTAATAATCACCGAAGAAATTTCAAATCTGAGTCGATGATGAGGACTTTTACTAAATAAAATGAAGACTTACTGAAATCAGCCGGGTTATGGTGCCTTGGACACGGGAGGCCGACGCTCTGTAAGTACGGGACCATGGCCGCAGTGTCGCCCTGGTAGATGCATCGTCCGTCAGCTATGACGTAGACCTGAAATGTTCATAGAAAAATGTTAACGAATGAGTGATGAACCCAGCCGTGGATGTCGTAAAAGGGAACTAGAAAAGATCAAGGGGCAAATGTGCGAACATCAGGACTTCCCTATTCGTCTGGCCAGCGTAGGGATTGTAAGGCAAATCCTCCGGTAAGTCGAGCCTTAACTTCGAACTCCTCCTATGGTCATCTGGTTAATTTTGTTGCGGACCCAACGACAGTTTAACTTTACCCTGGGGCAAACTTGAAATTCACTTATTGGCTTTTTATTGGGGGTTAAGCTGTAGAGCCTGGCTAAACAGGAGTTGCAGCGGTGGGAACAGGAGGTGGGAATAGTCATGTGCCTCTGGACTCTTTGGTTAATTAAAGAGGTCTCCTCTTCTACTACCACAACAGACTAAATGACGTGATGATGGAACAAATGATGAAATGCTCTCAAGATCTTGGATCAAACAGGCAAAACTGAGGAATGCAAATAAGTAGGTAGGTTAGAAGTGAAGACACATCATGATTGACGTGGCTCTCAATATTATATGGTATGGACTAAGGACAATGCAGGCTTGAATAATAAATATTTCACCGATCAATACAGCATCGCTTAGATTTATTAAGCCGTTTGTCCTGTTTATTTATTTATATCTAAAGGTACTTCTGTTATCGGAACACCCGCTCTGTTTTTCTGATACCAGCCTTCATCAAATAAAGTAAAAGAGCCAGTGCAATGAAGCGAAATACAGGGTGACTTTGTTATCAGTATCCAAATTTTTTTAATAAGCTCGTTAGAACAATTTGACAATACAACTTTATCGTAATTATTTTTAATTGTGGTATTTTTCGCAAAAAAAAATATTGAAAGTCTGATTCGCGGGTGCTCATATCTTAAGTTTTAAAGGTTATTGCTTATTTTCGCTCACCATTATGTCTATTAAGCTTTGCAGTTAACTGTGTGTACATTTTTTTCCATGAACGAAGCAAAGGACAATGTTCGTTCTCCATACATTGTTCGCCTAAAGAACCAACAATTTTGACATATTACTACCCGAAAGCGAAATAATACGATTCTGTGTGTAAGAACAATGATTCCTGATGGACACTTGCCATAAAATTAATGATTAAGAATATTAAATCACAGCGATTTTATAATATGTCGTTTATGACAACATGGCGTCTAATGTATTGTGTGAATGTATGAACACCGATTCGCGAAAAATGTTTTGTATTGTCGTCACGCCGAGTCGCAGCCAAATAGTATAAAATAATAGAACAAGTTTTAGAAATACAACTCGGCATTCCACTTTTAAATTATTTTTATTTTATTTACGACCTTCGACCAGTTGGACACTTTAGATATCTTCTTGTAATAGTGTCAAACTGTCAATATCTTTTTAGCTTTTAACGCAAATCTAGTCTTCAAAGCAGTTTAATCGATTTATTTTATTTTCAAAATCGATATTTTATTGTCTATGATGGCCGCAGGAACATCACTATACATGGACTCCCAGCAATAAAGTACGGTAATGCCTCGTACAGATTTTATCGGCAAAAATTATGGAACTTGATAGGTTTTAGACCATGCCACGCACCAAAACGTCCGGAAGTTGTAATAGTATTATAGAATAAACGTTAAAAGACTTATTTATTTAATTTTTCAATGCTTAAGTGTCCATTAGAATGAAAGGGTGCTTAATGTATTAAAAAAAATAGAAAATAATTATGATGGGTTAATGTTTTTGGGCGGTTTTTTAGGCGGTTTCTGACAATGTCCTTTTCCACGTGAGTCAATTTGGAAACCGCGCGCAGCGGATGAAAATAATTAAATATGGAGAAAAAAGTTTAGTTTTCTTTACGTAAATCAATTAAGTTACTGACTCTGAGTCGATCCTGAAAATTTGGATACTGATACAAAAATCACCCTGTATTTCTATCTTATCCTTTATGTTTAATTTAATTTTCACATAGCATATGACCAATACTACCCAGCTTAGAGTAGGAAAAGATAAAGTACTACGTATTGGAAACTACAGGAATGAGTTTGCTAGGAAAATTCCAAATTCAATTGAACTCATCGATCGTCGAGTAAATCACAGGGCAGCGCATAATTACACCAATTGTCTTTATCATGCAAATCAGCTGGCGAACAATGAACACCGACACGCCATCCAATGGTCCATCGATGTACTATTCAATAACAATGACCAATTTTCTTAATTATCGATTATTTGGAATGATTCCTATAAAAAATATTCAATTGAGGTATCTTGTAATCTCGTGTACACAATATATTTTTTCTCGTGTGCACTAAGTAGTAATCAGTGATCGTTTACAATTAATTAGTAGGTTGCTACACGATTGACCTTTTAACGTCGTAAAACATTTTATGGCATGCTTGATAAGCTTTATGACATAAATTATTTTATACATATTACGTTTCCTCTTTCAATTTTCGAAATTTTCTCTACTGGGAAACTCTAAAACTTTGACAAACGTGTTTTGAGCAGAAAACAGATCCGCGGTACTTTGCTAGTCTTATAATATTTTTAACTTATCTTGATAATGAAAGAAACCCTCGCGTTGCAAGCACTTGGAGCGAACTAACAAGTCTTCAAGAAACAGGTTAGGAAAAAGTTAATAAGTCAGGCGGTAAAGTACCTAAAAAGAAAATAAGTAGGCAAGGTGAAATGCCTACATATTTTATACTCTTTTATTCTTGTTTAAAATTCCAACTGACCAGTTCGCATTCTGGGACCATATCAAGAAAGTAATGTCTACATCCCAGGATCATAACTTATAGCCAAGGAATAAATCTTGATTTATATCTCGTCTGAAACACCATAAAATGGCTGTTGGTGAATTTTAATACCTACTTAACTCTACATTATGACTTCCTTGAAACTGTATTATACTTGCAATAGTTCATTTATGTTATAAATACGTTGGGCATCAGTAAAAGGTTTAATGTGCTACTAAATCGGAATTATAAACAGACATTAGCATTTCGTGTTGGTAAAAATAGCGACATTAGCGTGTTTTTCCTTTTATTGACTCGACGCTTGATAAATTCGATTCATTTTGTATGTTAAATATAATAAGTACTTACTATTCTCTTCCGAGGAAATTATTGATTCCGAAGTGATAAAAATGAACTCGACAATCTGCTACACTGATCAATAATACCTACATATCTATCTACTCATTAATTACAGCTCTACCATTTGTTTCTTTTACTTATATCCGCTTAGAACTGAAGAGAGACGATTCTTAGTAAGTTAGGTACCTACAAATTTAACTTTCAGTAGCAGGGTTCATAAACAAATACAAAATTCGTGACAATTTAATTCCGAAATCGCTTCACTCAGGTTTGTTTTTACATTATTTCTCCTTGAATTGAATTTATCACAAATGCTTCTTACTATATAGGGAAAATAGCGTCACAAGAGTTGTAGCGGTGAGAAGAAGGAGAGGTGGGATCAGTCTTGTAAAGTTCTGTTGACAGCTGGATTCTAACTCTGGCTGGCTTTATGCTGTAAATATACTATCATCTCTACCACTATACAAGTGTTCTGTTTTTGAACTCATACCTGATCAAACATCTCCAAGAGCGAAGCCGGCGGCTGGTGTATGGTGCAAACCACCGTCCTTCCTTGCCGGGCCAGTTGCTTCAGCAGCCTGACGCACTGCACCGTCGTGACTGTGTCAAGACCACTGGTAGGCTCGTCCAGGAAGAACACTGGTGGGTTGTTCACCAGCTCTAGTGCTATTGATAACCTGTCGATAAACATTGTGTCAGAACAACTGGCGAACCCGAAGCTTTTCGTTTACTGCAACTTTTTGCAGATTTGTGGCGTCAAAATATGAATTTCCTCGATTTTGTTGCTTATTGAAGACAAATTACAAAATCATCTATTTGAGAATATTTGACAGTTTGTGAAAGTGGCGTTCAAAAACATAGGGAAATACTGGGCAACTACATGGCGTGATTGTGATTATGCTCGTGCTTTGTCCTCGAGATTAGAAAATATAAGACCTATGTAGTATCACGTACGGTGATGCCAGTTTACGCACCTTCGGACAAAGCCCTCGCATAATTATGATAGAACTTCACTTTTGAAGTTCGTTTAATCTATCTTATATAAATAAAAATGAATTGATGTTCGTTAGTCTGATCAAAACTCGAGAACGGCTGGGCCGATTGAGCTGATTTTGGTTTTAAAATGTTTGTCGTAGTCCAGGGTAGGTCTAAACGGTGAGCAAATACGCGCGCGATATTGTTTTTCTGTGACAGACAAAATTCCACGCGGGCGGAAAGCTAGTCATTAATAATTATGGGGCAAGTAGGTAAGTTTACACTTGTAGAAATTATAAAAACAACTCAGTGTAAAGCAAATGTCCTAAATAAAATATGTACAACGAAAACATTATGAATTTTCCGTCGTTAAAAGTTCACTGTTTTGATTAGTAAGTCACTTCACTGCCAAATCTAATGTTAATCAGCGTGACGAATAAGTAAATAAATCATCATGCACATTTAGGTATGATTGTCTTCGCAATACGTTATAAAGGTGCACCTGAATGACTCACATACTTAACAATAACAATGTTATTTTAATCGTTTTGTAAATCATAACATCAATGTTTACAGCGCGTTTTTAAATTACTTAAACCAACGTTTTATTGGATAACAAAATGCCTCGTATAATACAAAAGCAAGATAATTGCCCGAGATAGATACAAACTCTATTAAAAATTACCAAGCACGATGCTTTTAAAATTGCCCGTCATAATTTTCTTGAATTTCATCAGTATTATAGGTTAGCGAAAATGATTATCAAACCAAAGCATTTGCCAGTTCCTTTAATTCTGTAGATGTCTCGATGTCACCTAAAATTCATGCGCGATTTGCGTCATAAATGATGACGTTTAACGAAGGTAATCGTATAGTGCAGCTACATCAAATTAAATCTCATGACAATCAACATGTGGATCTTTGTAAAGACAATAACTGATGACTATAACCAATCTCACCTTTTCTTCTGCCCCCCGGACAACTTATCAGTCTTCGTATGTTGATGCTCCAGCAGTCCCAACTCTTGCAATATTTCCTCCGAATGGACTTTCCCTCCTTTTGGTATTTTCAGCCTCGCTGCCACATCCATGGCTTCTCGCACCGTGAGCAACGGTTGCAAGAGATCCTCCTGTGTGATGTAGCATGAAGATCTTTGAAACAGGTGCTCGTTCCGTGGTTGGCCATTCACCAGCAGCTCGCCAGTGACGCCTGCTGACCTGTGACGAAAGAGAGCATTATTTCTGGCAAGGTTAATGACCGCAAAGTTTTGACAACGAAAATCAGGTGATTTCACGCTTGAGAGAGCACAGAATAAATTGTTGTAAACCATTGTTTTGACCATTGATTCGACTGTTTGTTGATGTTCCGTCTTCCGATTCCAATTTAGGAACATTAATTCTAACAAAAGTTGTTTTAACCGTCTAAAAGTCAGTAAATTATCTATACAGGGTGTTAGGTAAATGGGTATATGAGCCGACACTAGCCCATGTTAACATGGGCATATAAATGGTATGGTGAAGTCAGAAATTTGATATCATAATTTTAATTTTTTAAATTTTCATACAAAATAAATTTTATAAAATCCGATTTGTATGGAAATTAAAATGAAGATATCAATTTNGTGAAGTCAGAAATTTGATATCATAATTTTAATTTTTTAAATTTTCATACAAAATAAATTTTATAAAATCCGATTTGTATGGAAATTAAAATGAAGATATCAATTTTCTGACTTCCCCATACCATTTATATGCCCATGTTAACATGGGCTAGTGTCGGCTCCTATAACCATTTACCTAACATCTTGTAGAGATATGTAACATAAATTAGTAAAGGTTATGTATGAACATACCTATATCCCGAAATAGCGTTCAGTAATGAACTTTTTCCAGCGCCTGATGGTCCCATGATGGCCACGAGCTGTCCAGAAGAAAATCTGCCATCGACACCTTTCACGACATCTCTGCGTTTGCCTGCCAACAAATTAAAGAAGTTAATTAGGCTAATATTACATTAACTTTTTAAACTAAATAAATATTAAGGTATGCTGCTGAAAAAGTAAGAGATATGGGTGGTTTCTCTGGTAGATAGGAATTCAATCCAAGGTTTCTTTGTAAGTAGGTACCTATTGCTTATTAGTTAGCACATAATACATAAGCCTAATGCTAATCGCAGAATTGCTAAAATCAAGTGGCAGTTGGCAGGGCACATAGCTCGTAGAGACGATGGCCGTTGGGGCAGGAAAGTTCTCGAGTGGCGACCACGGGCTGGAAGACGTAGCGTGGGCAGGCCTCCTACTAGGTGGACCGACGATCTGGTAAAGGTCGCGGGAATAGCCTGGATGCGGGCAGCGCAGGACCGTTCATTGTGGAAAACCTTGGGGGAGGCCTTTGTCCAGCAGTGGACGTCATTTGGCTGAAACGAACGAACGAACATAAGCCTAATAGTAAAGTAGATATTCATTTCAAACTTAATAGGCATCTGGTCCATGATTGATTTATTACTAGTGGAAAGGTTTACCATTATACCTAAAGTAGTGTTATTATCTTCGAGTATCCTAAATTACTAATATTTAAAAGTAATCAATCGTAAATGCCTGCATGCTTTACAATCAAGCCGATACCTAGGTAACTACGTATTATATTATCTGTGCTAATACCCACTCGTGTAGGCGCTCATTCAATAAATCGAAAAAAAAATGTTTTCTATCCCATATCCACTTATTTTCTTTTTGATTACTGCAATTTCTCAACGGCTTTGTAAAAACAATAATGTGACTAAGAACACGTGTAGAATCGAAAATGACTTTGCACGAAGCTACTTATTAGCAGATGTCTATCAATGTATTATAAGCCACATAATGAGTGAGATAATTTACCCACAAAAACATAATTATACAGATGAATACTATGTTGCAATAAAATAACAACGTTGTTAGTTGTAAGTACTGACTGAACTTTAAATAATGACTCTATAATCCTAATAATTACTAAGTAATACTGTAGTTTTCAGTCGCTAAAATACATATTATTAGCAACTTTAATCATGTTAACGTTAGTCATATTCCATCCTCAGTGACCCGATTGCATGGTTATTTTTTCCATATCAATTTTATTAATTTCTCATATTTCATTATCGTGTTGACATACTTTATTAAAATGTTTTATTTTTGTCGCCAATGCAAATATTTATAATTAAATGTGTTAGTATGAAATAATAATATAGTACATGGATGAGAATCCGCTTGTACAATAGGGTGTTTTCTGGGTAAAAAAGCAAGTTTGAATTAGTCCTTCGCTTAATTTACCAAAAAATACTCGATAAGTATTTTTCACTTTTTCAAACTAATGAAAATTTAAAGATATAAATAAAGCGCGCCAAAGTTCAAAGGAAGAAGCCCGTGACGTCAAAGCGTGCTTAAAAGTACAGCACTTTCTGACGTCATGCGGATCTTCGAAATTACTCGTTTGATTGACAAATAAAAATATACGTGTCCAATATTTTTTGAGAATGTAATTGACGGAGAAGTTATTTTTTTTAGGAAACTAGCCTTTTTTCAGAAGCCCATTTACCCCTTTGATCTCGCCGTGCCATATTTATTTTGAGTGCGAAGTGTCACTCAATATCCGCTTTAAACCAGCAGTCTGGAATACAAACTAACTCTGTGACTCACCGTTACTTACATTGATAATGTAATTCATTACGCACTAGCGTGCAATCGTGGTGTATGGTTGCAGATGGACGATGGTAGATGCACTTCTTTATTTGTTTGTTGAGTGACTAAGGTACTGACATTGTATTTAAAACGTCGTCATTCAATGCAGTGATATTGGATTACAATTCAAAGCAATTAATTTGGATCACATGAGAATTTTAGGGCTGTAAATTATTCAGTTTTATTTATATGACACTTTTAAGGTATACTCGTATAACAAAGAGGATTTTTACGAGCTTTTCTAAATTGTATTTTCTACATGTATGATTAAACATCACATCCTTTAAAACTTTCGCAGTGGTAACAAATCAATCTTTCATTTAATACCTATATAACTACCGACTCGTCCCGGCTATGTTCTTCTATTTCTAATACATACAGGGTATCCCAAAATTAGCATACAGTGAAACTTAGAGGTATCTGGCCTAAGACGATCGGCGTCATAGGTAAACCTTCCTATTATACACTCTATCTGTTGCCGAAAACGGCATTCAAATTATTTAAAAAACATCAAATCATATAGACAGCGAGGATGACTTTATTTTATACTAGGTATGTAGAGATTATCTTTATATAATATTATTATGGTTAATAATGCAAAACAAAAGTTAATAATAATATAGCGTGTGACAGAACACGAGCGTAACAGTAGCTTACGAATTTCAATCATTGTTATTCGTTCTAAGCAGTGATCTCACATGTTTATTAATTCTAGTGCTATCGTATAATTATGCTTTGTTCCACAAATTCTTGACTCATCCAGTTTCACTGATAAAATCCAACCACAAAGGATATCAATTTGCTATACACGTACTATAAACGACCTCGATCATTTTCCAGTGATCTATCAACGAATAAATAATTGCAAGTCACAATTTCTATAAAAACGCTTTATTTAGCCTTGAAAATCATGACAGTCATGGTATGGCTAGTTTTTATATTAGTAGGTACAGTCAGCTTCAAACAGTTCGTGACACCCAAAGTGGCCAAAAAGGTAACAATAAAACCTTATTCTAATATAGTAACAAACACGTGTTGGGAACTTTTTAGCTATTCTGTGTGTTTCGGACTATTTGACGCTGACTGTACTTAGTCAATTTATAAATTTCGTTAGCGAATCTTGTCAAAAATACTTTACCTACTTCAAAATTTCCAAGAAAGCCACACTTTCTTTCTTTCCAACTAAATGTAAAACCGAAAGTAACAAATGTTGTTCAATTTACAGATTTTCACCGTGTTTGAGTATTTCCGAAAGTAACAAAATATGTTTTTCAGTGTATGGTTTTTCACCGTACTTAATTGTAAAGTACCTAGTACATATGGTAATATATTTTACTGGAACAAACTCATGACAACATGTTTCACCATTTTACTTTAACTGTTGTTTGAAATGCACATAATTTGCATACAATTATGAGCTGTGCAAATGATTACGTTAAGCGTTTAAATTACTCAATGAGTGGTGACAGCTTTTTTGTCAGGTCATGCTTAGAAATAGTTGTAAACTGAAAACTGTAGAAAGTATACTTCAAGTGCTTAAGGCCGTTTGTAGACATCCGTTTTTTCACCGGACGACGAACCGTCAAAAAACGGATATCCTTTGTGTACTGACAATTTTTTCGCCGGACCTGTCCGATGCACATGCATAATTACACATGTACCTACACATGTACACGTTCATTATAAACCATACACACCACCGCTAAATCCGGCGAAAAAATCAGGCCGACGTCGGTAAAAACGGATGTTTACATGCGGCTTAACTTAGTGCCTGAGAAGGGAGCGGCACGGGAAAGAGTTTTTGGGACGTCAAACCTCAGTGAGACTTCAAATATACTTCTGATTTGTATGCTCTGTCACCTTATATGTCAATGTCACCCTTCCCGTGCCACTCCCATACCTCTGACACTGAGTTAAGCGTCCTAGACCCATAGTTCTTTAAATGTTCAAAAATAAATGAAAGAACTTTTATTTACAGGTACAGTTCTTTCTACCTCTTGAATTGATGCAAATATTATAGTTTATTCTCGTATGTGTAAACCAACCAAATAGTCGTTAGATTTTTCAGTAGACTATTAATCAAGTTCAAGTCACAGATTCAAAATGCTGTAGGGGTCAAATTGGCATGTAAGTTTTATCTAAATTCTAGTAGAATTGTGTCATTTGGAAGACAATATCAGCCTAGATATCTCAAGTCCGGCTAGTAAATCAGAGGTAAATAGTTCAAAAAGGCTATCAATTTTGTGTCTATTTATCTGTTATCTTAGTTTGAGGCTAGGTAATAAATTGCTGCGATAGTTTAGAATCATAGTTGTAATCCTAAGTATTTAAAGCAAAATACTTAGATCGTTACTTACTTTGTATCACAATTTATATTCACACATTACACAACGTGAGATGAAAAGGAAACTGTATCCCAAGCACGAATAACCCTCATAATCTTAGGCTGAGTTGCACCATCTTACTTTGACTTCAAACGTCAAAAATCTGTGAAACTACACAAAAGGCACTGGTTATCGTTATAGCTACGGTTAAAGTTAGGTGGTGCAACCGTGCAACTCAACCTTAATATTCGTAGAGTTGTAATTGTCATGACAAAAGATTCCTTGCACATGTCATTGTCACATGAGGAAATAATTTTGTGATTTACGCAAAAGAAAACTTTAAAAAGATCCTCAAATCAACCACTAGCTTTGGTCGAAAGATCTTTTTATCTTTCCTTTATGTATGTAAATTGATAGCAAAAATATTTTTTCTTGTGACAGCAAACAACCCATTGTCATGACGAGTACAACTTTATTTTTACTATACGATTATGAGAGTTTTTCGTGCTTGGGGCACAGACTTGCTAATTAGTACGAAATTAATGAGTAACACTAGGACCTTATCTGGGTCATGGAGTCATGTCACTTTTCAAACAATAAACAAGACAAGGATATCCAGCAATGTCAAGATAACCTAGAGATTGTTTAATGGGAAGATCTAACTAGGGATTTAATTGACCGTCACGCTTCTTACTACTGTTTTGTTTAACAAATCCCTATCTCTACATACGCACAAAGGGAGTAAGTACACAGTAGATAAATCAAACAGTACGGAAGCTTCATACAAACGCTCGAAATCAGACTCACGCACACAGACGCACGCTTTACACGAGCTCTAAGCGAACCTCGCAGTCCATCCGTCGCGAGTGTCGCGCGCGCGCGTTGTGTTTCTAATAATAATTTTATTGCATGCACTGTCCGCTGTATTTTCAAA